GATCAATACTTCGTAATCTGGATGATGCAGTATATCAAAACTGTTAATTTTTCAACAATGCTATCAATCATGCGATCAATACTTCGTAATCTGGATGATGCAGTATATCAATACTGTTAATTTTTCAACAATGCTATCAATCATACGATCGATGCTCCGTAATCTGGATGATGCAGTATATCAATTTTCAAGAATGCTATCAATCATGCGATTGATGCTTCGTAATCTGGATGATGCAGTATATCAAAACTGTTAATTTTTCAACAATGCTATCAATCATGCGATCAATACTTTATAATCTGGATGATGCAGTATATCAAAACTGTTAATTTTTCAACAATGCTATCAATCATGCGATCAATACTTTGTAATTTGGATGATGCAGTATATCAAACTGTTAATTTTTCAACAATGTTATCAATCATGCGATCAATACTTCGTAATCTGGATGATGCAGTATATCAAAACTGTTATTTTTTCAACAATGCAATACAACGTTTAAGTAAAAAGCGTGTTGTACATAGTCTCTAAAATCATTGTCTGTGTGTTACGGTGATAAAAATTTTTTTTGGTGGATTATCACATCGCAAAAATCGAAATGGGCCAACCCATTTCAGGATTCCAGAATGGGTCAAATCCGAGAATGGGTCAGAACAATAACATTATTTTCTCTGACTATGATGTCATTATCCTTACTTCTTTGAGGTTCAATTCAATGTTGTCAGTTTCAATTTCATTGCCATCAATATTGCCATGATATTCTCCATCATAATTACATCCAAGTGCTTGCCCCTGTGGCACTTCTTCAATAATTTCTTCTAAGTATGAGTATACTCTTTTCAAGTTACTTGCTGCTTTTCTATTTCACAGGAGATCTGTCAACTGAAATTAAATAAAACAAATGTTTTTCTATTTTGCTAATATCAAGCATTGATAAATTGTATTTCTCAAAACTTACTTCATTTGACCACCAGCTTATTTGACAGATTTGATGGGTTTCTTATCTGCTTTATCACTATTGCCTTCATAGTCATTGTTAATGAAATTATGAACTTCTGCAATAACAATAAGGCACAATTGAATTCAATAATTTAGGCATGTTCATACTATGCACTAATGGTGTAATTTTGAAAAAAAAAAACGAATTATGCTTCAATAAAGTAATATAGTTTGAGTATAAAATTGTCACATGTACACCCCCTGACAAAAGTATAAGTACAAGACGAAATTTTACTAGTAAAACATATGAAAACTCTTTATTTTCGAAAATCTCTATCGTCCATACGTACTATGTAAC